GAATTCTCGAAAAAGTGAAGCAAACGAAACATCCTTTTTTTCTTTCTTAATGTTTTCTCCATAGTCGCTCCATTCCAAGAGTAAACACGACAGTTAGTTAAAAGGGGAATAAACCAGTTTTCTTCGTTAAGATGAGTCACAGACTAACGCCGAAAGTGATAGAGAAATTGTAGCAGATTATGCTTTTGATTTCTGGGTAGAAGGGGAAAGTGTCGCCAGCCAGTGTCAAGGTTCATCCAAATCCAATTAATTTCGCAGCATTGGCAATAAACTGCTCAGTATTCTCTTCTAGTTTGAAGTTATGACATTTCGCTGTGAAGTCCAATTTCGATTCGTTCGTTAATAGGCTCAAATCTTCCAACATAGTAGAAGTGTGTTCTTTCAGTTATTATTATTATTTTTTTTTGTTTATGTTTTGAAGAAGCATTTTAGCATTTAATATTATCCTGCACCCGTTTCATCAGTTCTTATAATCCTGCTCGGCTTGTAAAATGATGCAGTCGGACCGAGCAGGGAAACAGACACAGAATTTTAATGAAATCAGATGTATTTTATTTAGATCATGTTCTTATGGAAGACCAGCGCAAAGTGATCGTAACTCCATTCAGGATCTGTCTTTCTGTTAGGGAAAATCTTGCAAAAATCCGAAAATGTCTCTATTTAGGGAATCGAGGGAAATCTTAGAAATTACTATTGGTTAACGAGCTTGCTCAAGTAATTCCCACGGCTTAAAAGGGAAAAAAAGTCTCTACGTAAATTTATGCATAGTTGGGCCTAAAATAGAATTAGAAAGAGGATGTAGCTATTACAAGTGTGAGAAAACAATTCGATTTGAATAATTAATTAGTAATAAAAGTAGGAGTTGTTTTAACGAAGAAACTAACATAAAAAGAGATTAATAGAAGCTTTTTATGTTACACACACACACACACACACACACATATATATTTATATGTATGTATTGTAAATGAGAATAAATTTAAATCATAAAGATGAGAATGTTTCCTTTTTACTTACATTTTACCACCAACTTCCTGTTCACTTTTCCTCAGAAAATTCTGAGAGACAAGTCTTTGGTTTGTGTTTGTATGGAAAGTTATTCAACACCCCTGAGGGAGAGGGAGAGACAAGAAGACTATCCTAGCTCCTACCCACATTGTTCTCACTTTACTACGCTTTTTGAGGCTGACTACAATGCATGCACATTTTCTCTGCATTCAATAATGAAAAGTTTTTTGTTAACGCCACTGCGTTTAACGTAACGAATTCTATTTTAAATTATTTGAAAGAAATTAAGTAAGTATTTTCTATCAATCTTTTTTTTTTTTTTTTTAACTAGCTCTTAAATAGTGTATATATTTTCATATAGGCTAAAAAATTCAATTATAACTGCTTGTATATGTGTTAAAATATTAAAATAGACTTGTAATACCTATACCTAACAAGTTGTCTTATGAACTACAATAAAGAGGACATCAATTATTTTTTAGTTTTAAAATGCTTGTACTATTCCATTAGAAATAGTTTTTCTACTTATCAGGAAAAGACATAATTTTTTTAATATAATAAAAAAATTATGATTAACAAAATGGACATATAATTCACGAATGTAATCTCTATCGTCAAAAAAGTTCATCTTCTTGTCAAGAAAAGGTTTAAAAAAAACTGGAAAAAAATAAGAATTTTTCTATTGCACTGAATTTTATTTATTTGTTTGTTTTTTGTATCATTATGGACACCGCTTTCTCTAAAATTGTGAGATGGAGGAATGGTAAAACTGTTCAGCAACTCCTTTAATCAGCATAGAGTGCATTTATATTATAATGAAAATTATAATACATTTTAATTTTTCGAATGTTTTTTAAAACTTAAATAATAAATACTGTAGGGTCGATCTGGCTTATATGATAAGTGATTTAGCTCACATTTCCCATTGATGAGACTTAGGTTTGAATCTCCATATTAATTCATATACTGCTCTTGGTTTGCACTAACTACAGTTCTGACTTACAATACATCCAGTGGTAAAGGGATCATGTTATGGAGGAGAATAATCTTGCCTTCAAGCTAACCATGGAGTATTTTTTTTTCTACTAATGTAAAGCAAATGTGAGCTTGTTTCAATTCTGATGTCCTCCATGAAAGTGATTTTGCCATAAAACTTTACCAAGGAGTTCTCTTGTACTCTGAGTTCGGTTCAAAATAGAAAAACTACAGGTTATAGTGTTAAAAGCAAAAAATCATCTGCTTGAATTAATACCAGTACTAAAATAAATACCTTAAGTCTTGCTCTAAATTAAACTTATTCAATTTTTTTGTTATTATTTATTTTTGGTAAAATCTAAAATTTATTTATTTATTTAACAAGAATTTTTTATGAAATGAAATATTCCTATATAGTCATTTAGAATTAATTTATTTTTGTAAATATACATTGCAAGGTTTATTCCCCTTCCCTTTCTTTTTCATTAGTAGATTGATGATTAATGCATATTCAATTTAATACGTTTAAAAACTTTAAAAAATGCATTGAAATAAAAATACTCAATTAAAATAAAAAATAAAGGAAACGTGAAAAATTAAGGATTGCAATTTTTTTCTTGGAAATTTTTTGCAACATATATAATAGCTAATTTAATTTTAATCCACTTTCCATAGGTGCAAATATTTATTCTTTAAACCAAACTTTCATTTTGTATTTTTGCAAATTTTAAATACAGTGAAAGCTTGATATATCGAGAGTCATATTGCGAGAAGTCCAATTGTACAATACCCTTAAAACATTAATATTTAAGATACAAAAATTCTTTGTTTATAATGGGTTTTTTTTTTTTTTTTAAAATTACCTTTCTGCTAAAGCTGCAAAAATGCATTTTTCTGTCATTAAAATTAACAAAGTTATACAAAAAGGATAAAATGAGAAACATTTTTATTTATGTCTGATATTAATATAGAAAGAGAACATCATTTCACCTTACTTTCCTCATAATCCTTTAAGGTACTAAAGCATATATATATATGAGGATAACCACAAACTAAATTATCTTCCTACATAAAAATGAAAAAAATCTTTTGCTATTATCAGCAATATTGACATATACTTCAAATAAATGTACAGTGTGCAAAAAAATTAATTGACCCACCAGAATAACTTTTGATCTAATTATCGGATCTTCATGTTCTAGGATTCATTCTGAATGGTTTGAGAGGGTGTCATCAAATATGCTAATTAATGAGTGCAAAAGATATTCTAAGTTAGGAAATAAAACACAAAAGTTACCTTCTCTGATTAAACATACCTTTTTTCAACGGATGAGTATATCTGTCTCCCAAAATATAGTAGCAATCTGGTAATATTGTTTCAATAGTTAGTTCAGGAGCGTGGTTTAAAGTTTGGACCCTTTAATGTTAACTTTAGTTTTTGTGGATTTCACTTTATCCCAAAAATGTTTTTAAGTGAATTGAAAGAGTTTTGCATACAATTATAATATTCATTTTTCTAAAGATAGTTTCATGCAAAATATAACTTTTATAAATATTTATTATTATTTTATTTAATAATAGTAAAAAAAGAAAACTTTAGAAATGTAAGGTATAAACTTTTTTCATCATTTGAAAGAATGCCATTTTAAATGGCAAGATACAAATTTGAGCATAATCGGTCAAATAGTTCCTGAGCAATAAAAAAAAAAAAATTTTTTTAAAGTTTTGTCCCCTACCTCCTTAATTTTTTGTCGATTTTTTGTGACTTAATATTCATAGCTATAAAAGTAAATTTAAATTGTAAAAGAAAGAATGTTTAGTGTTGACATGTGGTAAACAATAATTAATTAGCTGCATGAAAAGTTATTCATAGCAGGCGCATGCTAATATGTAAAAAGCTTCTGCATAGCAAAATAGAAATTGTGGTGCAAAGTCTGCTTTCAACTCTGCAGAGAAAAGAAAACATAGTCAGACAAACAGCAGTCATATGTGGCAAATTTTTTAAAAATGTAAGTTACTTAATATTCGTTTCTGGAATGCAATTTTAAAATTTGTAAATTGAAAAATCATTAAAAATTTAAGCTATATTGTTTGAATCTTATATTTTAAGCCAGTGGACTCAACTCTTTTTCTCAAATGACGAAATTAGCATTTTGCCGAACTTAGGTGTTCACTTTAAAAACATCTTCGTAAAAAAAAAGGAATCATAAGGATAAATTTTAAAAGTCTCTCTGTATTTATTTACAATATATATTAACATCAAGTCCTCTGATTAAAATAACCCCTTTTTGTCTGTAAAATTATACTATGTAACAATTAAAAAAATTTTAATTTTACAATTTACTAGGCATAGCCATTTTGAAGTTCATATTAAATGGGGCATGATATTTTTTGATAGAACACTTGGTGGCAAAAAGTGTACCTATAACTTTATTTGCAAAGCTGAACTATTACGCGGTACAGATTAAAAAATTTGATTTAGCATTTAAATTATTCAAAAGCCAATGTCTATGTAAAATTTTAATTTACCATTTATGTCTGATTTCATATGTTTATCAAAATTGCATACGGTATACAATTACAAATTGAAATTCTTAAGTTTGTTTAATAATATTAAACAAATTAAGCTTTAATATGCTCATTGTCTGCCAGTGCTTCTGATACTGCTTTAAACTATTATTATTTAATTTCAATAGTGTATTTTTTTTCTAAATTGTGGTGATTGTTCGCCTTTTTAAAATTTGATTAGCAATTGAAAAATAGTTTTTAAAAAAATGTGTAGACATCTAATGACATTAATATTATACTGATGCAAAAAACAATCAGTTCTTCCATACTTGCTAGGGAGATGGAACTTTCAGCAGGGCTTACTTTCTAGCCATCAAGGTTATACGGTCATCTGTACAGTTTTTTTTGGCAATGTTTTTTGATAGAAGGCTAATCAAAAACATGTATTATCAGTTTTAATTTTGTGTTTTGAAAGTTGGTATGAAAATCCATTTTTGTTTTGCTTATAGGTAAAACAATTTGTACTTGTACTCCAAACTCAAGATTTTAATCCAGAAAAATATGAAAACTTATCTCAGATCTTAAGCAAAACTTACAGTAAGACTGGTAATCCAGCTGATATGTTGCGATTATACCTTTCTGTTTTGGTAAAAGGTGTTTGCTCAACAGAAGACAATGGAACATTTTCTGTAAAGCAATTTGACAGAGTGCCATTATATTCTTGCGTTGCTGCAAAAGGTATGGAATAAATGTTGTTTATTTTTTTAGCTCTTAACTCTCCTACTATTTGGTTAATTTTCAACCAAGACAAGTTCTGTGGGCAGTATTTCTTTTTGAAACTTTTAGATAAAATATTTTCCTATTTCTGTCATGAAAAAGAATTTTAGATTCATGACAAATAAAAAAAAAGTCGCTAGCATGGATTCTAAAATAGGAGTGAAAATAAATTAATATTTGTCAAATAGAGGAGTACACTTTTCTAATCTCATTAAAATGAATTTAGAATTACAGTGGCATGAATCCCAGATGACTACAGAAATCATGAATTAAAGCAACACATGAATTGAACATGTGTCTAAAATCACTTTGATTTTGCTAAAAACATTAAAAACTGTACTTCTAAATGGCAAAAGTATTCTAAATCAATTTTGATTTTGTAAGATGGAGTTACTTGCACAATTTATTGTTATACTATTTATACATTATTGAATGTTGAATTTACTATCATTGAAACAGTATCCTTTATTTACATTTATCTGTGTAATGTTGTCTCTGATGTGATATATTTGTCTAGAACATATTTTGCAATAGTAATTATTACACATATAAATGTTTTCTAAACTTTTATTGTTTGTTGAATTAGTATAATTTGCATATCTTTGTTTACTTAAATTTAATATGCAATGCATTTACATTAGAATATCTTTTTTATTTTTTATTTACTCAAGTTTATTTAATCAGTGAGCCTTTTAGGAGGATTATAGTTTGAAACACACTTGATAAAAAACTTTTATGCCATATTAATCTTTTTTTCTTCCCCTTATGATATTTTTTTAGTTAGCGTAACAGTTGCATTGGTAAATAGCACTGAATTTCTTTCTGGATAAAATAAAGAACAGAAATTAAGTCTATATTCTTTTTTGAATTAACTCAGTGTTTCCTTTATATCTTTTAGAGTAACTTTGTGTAATTGCAAAATACTTATACATAAAAACATTAGCTTGAAAATTAAACAAGCATTACATTTTAACGTAAACAATATTCAATTTTAGGACTAAACTAATTTTGATTTTTATTCAAGATGAAAAAATTAATAAATATATAATTAATATAAAATTGGAAATCATAAATTACAATTTTTTATGTAATTTAACTATTTGTATAATTGATCCAAACTTGTAAATTTTTATTTAATTCCAAGCATCAAAAAAACCTTATCCTTATTTTCTAATTGCCTGCTATTGTTTTGATGCAAGAAATAAAATTTTATTCTACACAATATAAAATAAAAATATGCTAGGTGAGTACTTTTTCTTACTGATTAACGACATGATTTGATTTAGCTTAATAAGTTTTCTATTACTTTAAGTTTACCATTTCTATGCAGAATTAACTTCTAGCTTATGTAACTAGTAAACTACATCAGTATCTCATAAAACTAATTAATTGTATACCCATACATAAAATAAAAACTTTATTTTAGATGTTGTTAAAACTTTTGGTCTGGAAACTATTTTGATATATACTGCTTTACTCTTAAAGAAACGAATAGTTGTCTATCATCATCGCTTGGATACATTACTCTGGTTTGTCAGGTTAGAACTTTTCTTCATCTTTATTTTATTGTAGATAGTACCTATAAACTTATTGGGCTATTCTGTGCCAAAATTTTGAAATGGATGAAATACATGAACCTTTTTTAATTAATGAAGTTTTTATGTGTTTGCGAATGTATTTCATAATTATAAATATTCATAAAATAAATTTGAGTCTCTCTTTTATTGTGAGAACAATAATTAAAAACCCTAAGTTTATTCTACGGAGACTTTTATTAAAATTTACCTTTTGAACAATATATATAAATTTTAGTGAAAAAAAATTTGTTAAGTGTTTTTAAAAAGAATTAACTATATTTTTTTAAAGTTTATTTTTGTATTTCACCTAAAAACTAATAAACTACACTAGCAGAAAATGTTTTATATATGTACAATTGTATCCTATTGATTGGTGTAATTAATTAATAAAAAGTTTTTTTTTATCTGACACCATTAAAAAGGAATCAACAGTCCAAAAAATGTTCTTTGTTGTTAAGTAGCAAAAATAGCCCAGATACAAAATTTTAAATTAATTTAAAATTTGAGATAGTATTTTGCTTCAACTGCTTTGATTTGGTTAATTTTAAAGGGTTCTTCCTGCTTTTATGTGGCATAGACAAGATTGGAATGTTGTGTACCCTTACATGCAACTGACAAACTTAGAAATTTCAGAATTACTATCACTGCCTACATATATTGCTGGGTTTCGAGATGCTGCTGTTGAAGGAAGAACTGAACTGTATGACTTATTTGTAAATTTACCTGCAATTGAAATAACAATAGCTCCACATTCTAAAGGTTTGACTTTCTTTACTATTCTTTCTCTGATATACATGTTATTGGTAACTGTGATTTTATTTTTAACTTTTATGAAGTGACACAAAATAATTAAGTGCAAAATACACTAAGTTTTCAGAATATCTTAGAAAAAGTAATAATTACAAATTTTGCTAGGATAAAATTTTGAAACATGTTAATGTTTTCTAATTATGCAAATGTATGTGTATAAGAGTTGGGAGGGTTTAAAAAGAATTAAACAATAGCTATTTTTAGCTTTATTATTTCTTCAATTCAATTGTTAAACAATGTCTGATCATGCAGAGAATTGAGAGAGTAAGTTGATGAGTTGGAAATAAGTTAAAATTGAATAAAAAGAATGGACATGTCCGAGATTTTAACATTATGTGTGTATGTATAAATATACAAAATGCTGGGAAAATGTCTGGTAAAATTTAAAATGGATTAGAAGAGGCAAATATAAGAGAGTTCACAGTGCAATTTGTGTCCGGAAATATGACATGAAGGGTGCTAGAGGGTTTCTAACTCATCACCTTGATGTCCCAAAATATCACACCTTAGGGCTATGAGTCTGGCCCAAAATACTTGCCCCTGTTACTCAGTGCCTCTTTTCACATTTTCACTTTATTTACTCTCCAGAACATCCATTTTACTGCAAATCTTTTTATATTCATCTCTTCTATCTGTTTTTAAATTTTACTTAGCATTTTTTAATAACCTTGTTCATGTGTGTTTATTGAGTTAGCTACTTTCATAAATTTTTAAAAATTTTAAAGTGCTGGGGCATTCTATTTTCTCTGCTTGCTCCCTTATCAGCTTATGCTAATTTTGGTGTAAAAGTTTTTCTTGGGACCATTCATAAGTCGTCACCATCATTTGGGACCATTCTTAAACTCAATGGATGGTAAGAATGAGGTGTATCTTTGAGAGCAAACTTTCCATTTATAAACTTGGCATTATAAGCATGAGCTGTATTTTCAGCATCTTTGCAATACACTGCATAAATGTATTAAGCAGCTTGCTTAGAACCTTGGTAAAAACAAAGAAAAAGGTGTCTAGCACTTGCTAACTTGAACAAAATTAAAACAAAATCTGGCACAATTAAGTATCTTCTTTCAAATGATTTCAAACATTATGCCAAAAACATTTAACGACATACAGAATATTTAAATTTAAAAGAAACAGCAGGAGATTAGTTTCCAACCCAATTTATTGTAAAATATAGGGGTATGTTTTTACTTGACTCTTTACCTACCTTTAATATTAGTTTAATTTTTTTTCTTTTTGTTTTTTTTTTTGTTGACATTTCGTGAATGTATTTCAATGCAAATATTGTTGGATCTTTTTTCCTTACCTATTAGATCTTCGGATCTTGTGTCAGTAAGTAGACTTTCCTTCGATAATATGGATCAATACATTCTTATGAACACTTAAGACATTGAAATTTCATAATTAATTTAATTTTATAAATTAAATGTTCAGCTTTATCAAAAACTTTATCATTGCTCTTAGTTTTTTATTTAACTCAATCTTCTTATTTGTTCCAACCTGACTGTGTAGTGGTCAGGGAGATGATCTCGCATTAGAAAGGTCCTGGGTTTGTTTCCATAGATGTTCTTTCATTCTGTTTACTATTTGCTGATTGTGGAAGCAACGTTGGTAACTTTGTATAGTGGTAACTAACCACCTAACTGTATAGTGCTTAGGTTAAGCCCCTGAAAGAGTGGCCAAAAAATCTGCCCTGAGAGAGGAGTGTCGATCGAGTGGGTATTGGAAAAAAATTAATATTTGTTAAACTCGGTACAAAAAATATTAATAAATAATTTTGAAAATTCCTTAATTTTACTGCATGCCAGATTGTTAAAGTGAAAAGAGTAGTACTTATTCTTAAATGCTTCTATGCTTCTTATGTCTTAATGCTTCTTATGTCTAATTCTTAAATGTTACTCAATGTCACATTTTTTTTCTTTTACTTCCACAAAATTGCCAAAAAATACTTTTCTGGTTTACTCCAGTTTTAAATCAAAGGATAAAGAAGAAACTAGTTTGAAAAAGACACAAGTACTCCATTATTTATGTCGTATCTGGTCAGTTTTATATGGGATTATTTTATATAGATTAACCTTAATATAATTTTTAAATATTAGTGATTAAACTAGAATATCAAGGCAAGAAAATCTTATTGCTGTGAGACTAAGTTTTTTTCTGAAGCAAGTTGTTAGTTTATAAAGAGCTTACATTATCTTTTTATAATACTCCCATCCAAACATTAGTTGATTTAACCACTCATAACATTCAAGATAGAGATGTGGTTAGATTACCAAATATTTGTTTCCTTTTGTTAGATATAAATGAATTGGTGCATGATGATAATACAATAGCAGTATTATTATAGACCAATTCATTAGCTACATCTGTAAAAGAGAATCAATAAATATGTACATCATTTCAATTTTGTGTTCTGTTTGTGATAGATTTTTGGAGAAAAAAAATTATTTCCGAATGAATTGTTTAGAAATTTAAAGTTTGAGAAACAGTACTTGCTATAAAAGTTTTATTTCTATGTTTTGTACCAGTCATAGCTCTGGTACCTATATGGAATGCTATATTTATAGATATTTTATCTAAAAGTAGTATTTTTTTTTGTTTCAATATTTAGATATATTTGCTATGACAAAAACTCACAAAGAAATTGCTGTTTTTATGACCAGGCAAGCAGAAAATTCAGATTTGAGTGATAAATCATTTATTAAGGTAAGTTGTTTCAAAATTTATTCCTTATTTTTAGAAATGATTTGATAGTTTATTTAATTTTAAATATATGCATTAGTTAGAGTCAGTGGGGCTCACTTTAAAAAGAATTATTTTGAAAGACTTAACCAACCATAGTGTCCTTACAAAAAGTCAACTTACCACAATTTTAAGAACCTCAGGAGGAGAAGTTAGGTTTAGAAAATTTTTGGAGACGTCCTTCAGAAGATGTTAAGACATTCGGCTAAGATTTTGAGCATTTATTTATTATTTAACTACCATAAATATCTATAAAATGGAATTCATTTAACTTAATTTGACGTTTTAAGAAATCCAAACACAGAATTAAAATTTTTATTAGTATCAGTATCAGTACAAAATGAAAAGGTTGATACAAAATTATTTGAGGAAAAATATTTATTTACACTTTATCCAGATCTGAAAATTCATTGTTTATCTGTAACTATTTAGCCACAGTATAAAATGAACTTAATTATTTAAATTATTTATTAAATAGAAGTAAACTTCACTAAGAACATATTTTTCGTAATAAAATAACGGAAGTAAGTTGGGTATTGTGTGTTTAAATTTTTCTTGTTTATTGTAACCTTCAGTACGCTTTCCATTGACTAGTTGTAGTGCAGTGTTTGTGGAAGATAGTTCAGTTTATAAGTAAATAACATGTAAATTGTAGAATGATAAGGTGAAAAAAATTTACAATATAGAAAAACCTAATTTTATTTCAATAAAAATTCGAGATAAGTGAGTTTAAAAATAATTTTTGCCCCCTTCTGTTTCATTTTGAACCAAAGCAAAGTAACATAGCTTCAGACAAAATTCTAAGTGATAATTAAAAGTGATGATTTAGCAAAACAAATTTAAGGAGGTTGCCATCTACTTTGAAAATTAGCTTTTACAAAGATGTCAAATGTTTGTTACTGTCTGTTGTTTGGATTTGGCGTACTAAGAATCTAATTTTAAATTTGAAAAACTCAATTTGATTGGTCAAAAATGGAAAGCCTGGATAATGATGTGTGATGAATATTCATTAAAATTAATCTGTTAGAAAAGTTAAAAATAGATTTCTTACAGAAAATGGGGAGGTTTTATTTAAAGATCGAAGTGAATTATTTATCAATTGAAAATCAAATATTTTTTTTATGAAAAGGAATTGAATAAGCGCAGAAATTTATAAATTTTAAAGCAACCATAAAATTGCCTTATTTTATAACTTTAATCTATTCAGTGTTAAATTCTCTTACAAAGATATTGAATTAGCTTTTTCTTATGGTTGCATTCAAGAACCCTTCTTTGTTAAATGTGACTAAAAATGGTAAAAGAAGTTTTCCATTTACTCATATCAAGTTTATTTGCTGTGGTTAGAAGCCAAGGTGTGGTAGGAAGGCATATTTGTTCAAGATGCTGAATTAGTTTGCTGTATGGGTGATTCTTTTTAAGCATGACAATTCGGACCAAAAAATTTCTTTTAAGTCTTCAAAATAATCTAAACTTTTTTTTGTATACTTCTTTAGTTACACTTATTAATATCTGACAGACAGCAGTGTAGTTTATTGAAATTTGCTCGAGAAGAAAAATAAAATAGAAAATCACCAAATCTTGAATGCCTAGAAAATGACATATTAGCTTAGAAGTTTAAAAAATAGTCATTTTAAGTAAATAGAAAGTAACTCAACTTAAACCTTTATGTTAGATGAACCATAAATTACTTAAATTAATTCTTTTTATCCACTGTAGAAAGAATCAAAACATTTTTAGTTGCTGACATGTGCAAAATAAAATTGTGTATAATAATCAGTCATTAAATAAATAAATGACTTTGATTACATACAAGCATATTGCAATCATACATAAACTTGGTATTAGGTTAATATTTGCTTTCCCTCCTTACAGCATTAGCACTAAAAAAAATGTCTGGTAATACTTCAATGTCCTGGCATTCATAAGCCAGGAAAATGACAGCCAGGATAATGATAAATTCTCCATTTTATTGCATATAACTTAACTTTAATTTAATAATTTGGCCTAAGACATTTATATTCTGCAGAAAACAACAGGATTTCTTAAAATAACTCAGATAAATCTATGTAGTTTATGTTATTAATGATTTCAAGAGGCCAGGAAAATGACAGCACAAGAACCTACTCACCTTGAAAAAATTTTTGATATAGATTTTGAACCAGAAAATTGGTTCATGCAACAAGACATGTTCATATAGGAGGGTGTCTAATCAATCTATTAACATAAGATATTGATTTCTGGCTCTATCTATTTTGGTTATGAACCACTAAATAAAAGTAGCCAGGAAAATGACAGATTTTTTTTTGGGACAAACAAATTATTGACAAAAAAAATTATTTTAAACGAAGTTTTTGTAAATAATACACTCTGTGTATATTCTAGAAATGCTTACACCGGTTGAGATAAAAAAAAAAATTAGGTATTGAAAAATTTATGGGAAGTTTTGAAGCTAGTTATTATTGGAAACATTGTTTGTGACATGCCAGAAACATGAAGTTTTGAAGGTCAATTAAATTTTTAACAATACAAAACAGTCAATGCTAATGCAAAGTCATTTTAAAATGCTAACAGCAATGCTATTTATTAATTTTTTTAAAAAAAAGTTCTTTAAGTATTATAGTATTAGATCTTGGAGCAAGGGACAGTGAATTGTCATATTTCGTGAGAATCACCCATACACGATTCACTATTATGCTTGTGAAATCTCTTTATGGATTTAATTAAATGTAGTTCACTTGTAATTATTACTAATTATTTTTCTGCTGCATTTTGGTCAAAAAAAAATTTTTTTTCTTTTCAGGAAATTTCAAATAAAACAAATGAACTTCTTAAGAGTTTGAAAACATTAACTGTGCAAAATGAATTTGCTCAAGATGTTATAAAATTGCAAGTTTTGAAGGAAAATAAATTTGCACCTGCTCTTGAAAACTTTCTATGGAACTTAGCCATTGCAGAAAATTGCTCTGAAGTTTGATAAGATTGAAAAATAGTAACATTATAATTAATTGATTATTTTATTAAAACTGCTATGTCTTTTTTTATTATTTGCTTGTTAGATAAAAATTAAATCTCATTACCTGGCTGAACAAGAATGTCAATGAAGAAGTTTTTGTGCACGTTATTTGTTTGATAATTTTTATTTTTAGTAGAACATTATAATTCAGCAGGCTATTTTTAATTTAAACAGAAAGCATTTGACATAATGGGTATTTCAAAGTAACATTTCTCTAGAAATTTTATTCAGTTCAATGGTAATTAACTTTATTTCTTGCCCCCCCCCAAGAAAGAAAGTTAATTACCTAATCTTTCAAATTCCTAATCAAACAATGCTAACTTAGGAAATAGAAATTTTCAAGTAGTAATACAAAACAAGACAAATTGTTTTTACCGAAATGTTATAAATTGATTATAAAAGGCACATACTAGCTGCACTAAATGATTTCCTTCCCTATATTGTCTTTTTTAATACGGCTATGTGTATATTTTGAGAAATCTTAAAGGAGGTGTCATATGATAAATTTTTTATCCTAAATAATTCCTTACAAAAGAACATGGAACATACAATAGCCTTACTTTAAGAAATGCAAACTCTCAAACTGGATGTTGAAAGAACAAGGAAAATAGCTGTATGTTTTTTAATGTTAATCAAAGAACTAAAAATAGTTATGAAAAAGTTTAATTAAAAATAGCTTGACTTTATCCTTTTAACGTCATTTTTTTACCATTGCTTATTTTTGATAGTTTGAATTTTGAACAGTTCAAATGTTTTATATTTTTGTTTTAATTCAAATTATAAGGAGTTGACCATTTTTTATTGTAGTTGTATAAGTGTTTGTCCATACATCATGAAACATCGAATTGTAATGCTTCAATAATCACAAAAAAGTGCAATGTGATAAATTCAAAATGCTTATATACCAAGGAAACATGCTAATATTCTTTTCTGTGCTATATGTTAAATGTACAGGATGTTAAATATACAGCTATACTATATGTTAAATATGCAGCTATGTTAAATATACAGGATTTTAAAATACTTTTTTAATAATAAATATGTGTTTTGAATAACAGTAACTTTAGTTTTATTTACTATGACCATTGTCTTCCATATTTTGTGTATCATTTAGTATAACAACCTTGTTAATTTCACATTAATAGCTACTACTTAAGAAAAAGAATTTATAACATACTTTTCTTTTAATTTGTTTTTGTTCATAATTTCTATGCTGCAACATTTTTCAATAAGATATATTATGGGCTTTTTTCCATAATAATATTCATAATATTAAAAATTCCTAAGGCATTTATTCACCTTTTATTGCATTTTTTTTTCAGTTTCTTGTTCTAAATATTGTGTCAGGTTTTTTTTTTATTTTTTATTTCTCTAATGTTGTGCCCTTTTTGCCCTTTTTTTCTTTCATTGTTTAAACAAAAATCATTCTATTTAGGATTAAAGATTTTTAATTTTAACTTGTTTTAAATTGTTCACCATGTAGAACAACAAAATTTATGTTAGTTGTTATTTTGGTTTATTACTGTTTCAAAATTCCCTGTGATTACAAAAGTTTCTTTAGTATGAAGTATTTTTCTGCAATCTTTTAATAATGTATATCTGGACAAAAATGTAAAGAAGTCTGATTTGTATTAAAGCTATAAGCAACAGCCATTTTGTGTTCAAGGATAGCATGCAGAATTCCCCCTGTATTGAGTTCAAAATCAGTAGCTAAGTGGTTAAAGAATAATTGCTAAAATCTCATTTTCACTATTCAAACAGGATTTTCTGTCTCAAGTGAATCTCAGTGTAAAATCTTATTTTTTTAATTTATTTTGAGGTAATTTTTAATTTTTTGATTTTTTGTTAGATGCTGTAAATTTGAAATATTTAATTAAATGTCATATAAAGGATATTTTTATAATATTTTCTGTGACTAAATAAATATTCCAATGGTCTAACATAAATTAATATTATTTTAATTTGTTGTCATGTTTACACACCAAAAACATTTTTTCAATGTTATTGGCTGGACCGTATGCAAAACCGATTATAGTAAAAAATGTTTTTTTTAATAGGATTTCAAACTTATTGCATCTGTCATGTTTATGTATTAAAGTTGTATAAAAAGAAAAGGTCTTTATCTGTTATTAAAAAGTATCTAACACTATCTCAGTTAGTTTCTGATTTACCAGCCATTAAACCAATTATGTTGTAAATTAGCTAGTTTCAAATGTCTGGTGCATTTTTTAATCTGCCCTATGTATCTGGAACTTTTAAAAAAAATGTGCTGAAATTTTTAATCCTCATTTCAAACAATTGCCATTTGTTACTTCTATTTTCAAGTAAACTTTAAGTTTATGAACTCCCAAAAACATTAATTTGTTTTATGTGTATTATTAGGCTCCCAAAAACATTAATTTGTTTTATGTGTATTATTAGTGTTACTCTCATTTTTTCTGTGCAACAGACATATAAGTAAATTAGGATATTTTTCTGAGTTTTTTTTTAGTTTATGTAACATACTTGTAAGTTTAATGTAAAGCCAATAAAATAAAGTTTAAGCATCCTATTTTTATAAACTTTTTTCTTTCTATTCTCAAAAATAACCCTAAGTTGTTTATTGAAAGCATCTGTATTTATATGATTACAAAATATGGCTTTAATTTTTAAACCTGGGTTATCTGTTTTAAAGCTGGTCCAAGCACTTAAAAAAAGCATTCTTATTTTGAACACCAACTTCGTATTATTTCTATAACTCCACTTTCAACTCTATTCTTATCACATTTTTTAACCCTTAATGGTCCTACAGTGTTTTGAGTTTACTTCACACCAGGTATAATTATAATATTTATATTATTTATAAATATACAATTATTAAGGATTACCATGGTAGCATAATTTTGATGTAAGCAGTCATAAAAGTGTTCTATTTTTTTACTCAAGAAAATTATATAAAACTAAGTGTATGTTCAATTTTTGTATTCATTTTTGACTTTTAAGTTAATCACAAATGAACATGTTTGATAAGTGCTGACATGTAGTTTTAAGTTAACTACATCTAAACACATTGCAAATAGTCTGGTACTGTCATCTAGTGTATAAATTGAGAAATAAACATGATTCTTTGCATAAATAGATTATTTTAATTTTTTTGGTGCATAACTTTTGAACACTTCAACCTGTAAATATTATAGGCACGAGAAATGGTGGGTGAAACATTCCTTTGCCCTGTCATTTTGACGGGAGCAAGAAGGAAAGGTTTAAATTAATTATAAATTTTCCATTTTATGAGTATGATAAAAAAAAAAGATTTGCCCCATACATTGGGCTGAGTAACTGAAAGTGCCATGTTGCTTATATGACCTCATTGATCTACTAAGGGTTTGTACATTGATCTGTTAAAATATTTGAATATGTTTATTAAGTATAGAGTAAAATATAATGTTTGATTTATCTAAAAAATAAAAATAGCACAAAACATTCCCTTTTCTTTGATCCACTTATAGATCCCAAAAGCAGGATAAAAAAACAATATTTTTCGGTGTTTTTTATTTTTTGTCATTTACATCCACTTTATGATATGAAATAAGTTTCCTACTTAACACATAAAAGGTATTCACATATACATTAATAATATAAATAAATAAAATATTCAAATATATTAATAGATATATTCAAAAATGTTATAAAATATTTAAAATCTATTGTTGACATACTTTTTACCTTTAAAATTTATTTTAAACATTTGACTATAAAGTTTGGAATGTAAGTTACTTTTCTACAGATTTAGATTGAGTTGTTAGTCACAATATTTATGATATTATAAATTTAATACTTTTAAAATGTCGAATTCTATATATTTTTTTTATTATTTTCAATATATGAGTGTCTAGTTTTCAATTTAATAATATATATAGTAAGGATCAGTAGTGACAAGTATACTAAGGGTCAGCGTTTTTATGATTGTGGAAACATTAAAAAGCTATTGAAAAAGATAATAAACATTTTTAGTTAGTAAACTTAAAATTTAGCAACAAAAATGCACACAATATATATTTAACATATTTCGTACTTTAAATATCTGATTTTAAATTTGGGGATAAAAGTAACATTTTACCCATTTAAATTGAGCTATAAATCATGTTTAAGTCATATTTATGTTATGATAAATTTAATGATTTTAAAAAGTGTAATTGGAAGGTTTTTATTGATTAATAATAGGCTTTAATTGATTGTAAAAAAATGACAAATCTTTGTAAGAAAAATAAATTGAATCTAAGCAAAGGACACAATTTGGAGAATAGCCTATACACTGCATTTTTGTCTTTTAACTTAGTAAACTTGTATTCTTATATAAATTTACCTATATGATTTACTACTAAATTATTAGATAAAATATATTAATTTTTTGCAAAGAGAGTTAAAAATGTTATTTCATACCTGTACATCATAAAATTTTTAATGCTTTATTTAAAGTTAATACTGCAATCTTGAGAAAAAAAACATTACCTAAAATTATTACAAAATTTTATATCTTTCAATTGAAAGGTTATGGAACCAAAATTTCAAACTAAAAATTATTTATTTTCATTGCATTATCATGAATTCATAGCTTAATTTTTGTCACAAATAAATCTTTTTAAGTTACAGAAATTTAATTACATATATGACCTTTCAAGAGAAAAAGTCAGTTAAATCATCTTTTTAATTACAAGGTAAAAAATAATTAAAAAAACTCTGCAAATTAAGAAATTAATAGCAAAAACATAACTTCTTTATTACAATTTTATTTTTCTGCTGTTTTTAAGGGTTCTTAAGACATCTATAAAATATTGGTAATTCAATTGCAGTAAATACTTTCTGTCGAGAAATTTTGAAAATGCGCTAGTTTTTGAACTTTTAATGGTTATGGAAAATATCAATTTTTTAAAATTGTATGATTATTCTACTTGAGATTTATTACATGTTTTTATAATGGATTAATGTTTTAAGTTCTGAAAATAAAATAAATTAAATATCACAAAATATTTTAATTCAAATTTAATGGTGCATTAACACACCATAGGCCGAATGCATGACAAATAAGCAAAATTTGAAAACCCACTTTTTAAGCGAGGTTTCAGAGTTTCATTGAAGTTTTATTGTATATCCAGAGTTTCATTAGTTTTATTGTTATCGGAATTTTATTGTGCTGAGGCTAACAGTGATTAACAAAATATGCCATCAGGACCAATCGTTCTGAAGTTACTTAGCATTGTTTCAAAACCTGAGATGCACAAAATTTATTTTGATAACTTTTTCTCTTCTTATAGTTTATTCGAAATTTTGAAAGAAAAGTGTTTCCTTGCATCTGGCTCAGCTTGTGAAAATCACAAAGCTGGTTGTATATTGGATTACTCGAAAAATGTGAAGACAAAAAACCTAATTGTGGGTCCTTCGATTTTGCTTTCAGCAAGGATTCCGAAACAAACGTAATAAAATGGAATGGCAATGCTGTGGTAACAATTGTTACTAATAACGGTACCATTTTGCCCAATGTAAATGCCAAACGATACAGTCGCAAAGAGAGAAAAGTTGTAATTTCACAACTCATCGTTATTTCGGATTGCAATAAGTATATGGGAGATGTAGACCTACATGACAATGCCATAGCAAAGAGAGAAAAGTTGTAATTTCACAACTCATCGTTATTTCGGATTGCAATAAGCATATGGGAGATGTAGACCTACATGACAATGCCATAGCCAAATACGGCATCAAGATTCAAGGTAAGAAATAGTGGTGGCCATTATAGTAAATTCTTGGAAGCTACATAGAATTTCAACTAGCTCAAAAATATATACTTTATATCTTATATAGCAATTATAGACTTTAGATCTTATATAGCAATTGCCCTATTAAAATATGAATTCAAGAACAATCCAACAGGTGAAAGTACATTATAAGTTACCCATCCTAGGTCGTTCATCATCTGCAGCTCTACCAAAAGATCTGAATGGTTCCTGGATTTAAAACATTCAATAAACATTTAATGCTTTGAAAAACAACTTTACAATCTATAACAACTTTAAGCATTATACAAATTAATCTATTGGTTTTCTGAAATAAAAAAATTTCTTAATTCAAATTAAACTGCATAATGCACAACACTGATTACGCGCTATGCTTATGAATAGTGGGGATCTCAAAATATAATGGCTCTCAAAATGTGATTGCCGCTGTTTGTGCGTAAAACTAGTCTGTTAATGGTGTGTTGCTTTCCAACCTCCTTGTTGCTGTTCAATCATCTGGGAAAGGCAATGAGTCCTTTTTCCCCTTATTAGTCCCTGCCTTGTATACTTAGATATTCCGCCATTTTGAAAAGCAGGGACAAGTCAATCAATTTGGCTTTTGTGTAATCTAGTGACTGAGGTTAATGACTCGAGTTGATCGTGTAATAAAAGTAAGACTCGGAACTATAAGTTAGTGAAATTGCAAAAATTTATAAGCTTTAACTATAGTTTTTTTATTGCTCATTTTTGTTTCCCCCTTCTCTCTTTCTCCCTCTATGTATGTTATGTATACATATATATATATATATATATATATATATATCAACAGNCTGCTCGCTGCACTCGTCGACCCCCGTAACTGCTTTTGTAGCTTCCTTCGGATAGCTTTGCAGTCCGAGATCACTATGCTAGCTCATTGGATACTGATTTATTGCAGTCTAACTTTGAATGAATAGTGGTACCCTTTTAAAATATAATTCAAAAAATATGTAACCTATACATCCTATATAAAACATTTAATTTGTATTTCGGTTTTGTACGGTTTCGGGGGGGGGGGTTGGCACAAAACTTATTACCTCGGTACCTATATTTAAAGGTGTAAGGGGGGGGGGACACTTTTCGTTTTTAGAAAACTGTTCGTGTTTATAGTGTTATGTATATTTACTTTTTATATGCATGTATAGTAATATATAAATGTATTTATAAACTTAAAACTCTCACGCTACAGCAATACCTAAGATCAAATGTACCTACATTAGTACATTAGTTATTTACAATTTATATCTTTTTCAATGTGTTTCAAAGAAAGTTATAGTTATAATGAGTTCAATCCAAAACTAGATTTAACGTTTTGTGTTCATTCGTTATTTTTGAATCTGTTAAACGACATAATAAATTTTTTACAGAGTCAAACATAAGGAATTGAACTTTAAAATCATAAATTGAAATCTCATAGTGAAAGTATTTTAAACTAGACAATATTAATATATTCGCGAACTCTTTAATTCTTTCAAATTTCAGAAGAGGTAACTACTAAATGACAATCTTTTAGAGTATATGGAGTTTAAGAAGATTCCAAGCATATTTGGCCACAAACAGTCCACGAGTAACCTTACAAAGTTATTCTTTGTAAGGTTATAAAGTCTTTTAAAAGATCTCATAAAGTCTTTTGGAAGCTAATAGAGCTATCAAGAGAACACACGCTATGGTAAGAACAAATTTAATAAATGAATAATAGGTATTTTTAGATTTCGCCGATGGAAAGCATAAGCAAAGGCATATTCTCTTTCTCTGCTGCCAACGTACAAATTTAGAAAGTAATTTAATCAAATCCACGTTTAGAACCTCCATCCACTCAGTTCTTTTAACTATCTACCAATTTAAAAATTACCTACATTGAGTAGAATATGACGAATAAAATATATACTTTTCTCAAATTTTCCCCAAAACATAAAACAAACATTTCATACTCATAAAACATTTACTTGAAAATGATGAAAACTATACTATATCCATCTCAGTTTATCATTGATATATATATCTCATTATAAATATATTAAGGAAGTTCTCAAATTCTGGAAAATGAAAGTGAAAATAAATCCTCATTTCTAAAATTCAAAAGCACATTAAATCAAAAGTTTATCAAATTATTCTCTGAAAGACTTATCAATCAATGACGAAAAGTCCCCGCTGTTTAAAATTGCATCTAAACTCATAAAATTTCCAGACAGATAAGTTAGGGGGGGATTCCCTCACGGATCAGACTTACCCTAGTTTGCCCTGGAGCAGGCAGCCCTGGTATTTTGGGAACGAAGGGGTTGAGGCAAGAAGGGAAAAACAGCTGACGTTCGAAGATTCTCGA